TATACACACATATATACATATATATATCCCTTCTTCTTCTTCTCTGCACTCACAAAACCAGTTCCCCATGTCAGCAGGGACCTGGCACCCGTCACCACATCACTGAGCAGCACAGCTCAAACACACCAAGGAGGAAGGCTCCAACCATTGTGGGCTGCATTCAGCTTCCCATACTGGTATGGAAGCCTGGCCACTACAACTACTGCCAAAACCTCTGCAGCAAAAGCAGCTCAACCCATGCTTTCCATAAACTGATTTCAGGACAAATGGTGACTTTTTCTCTGGCTTATTAAAGCAGATCAGATGCACAAGTTGCTCTGCAGCCTGAGACTGCACATGGTCAATGAAGTCTCTTTGAAACACAATAAACAGTACAGTAAACCTTGGCTCGTGTTGTCTTTTGTGCTGTGCTGCATAACCTGGGGTGGCACTGGGTGGGCAGCAGACCTCAAAAATCAGAGAAACATACAATCACAGAATGTCCTCCCCACAGGGATCATCAAGTCCACCTCCTGCCCTGCACAGACACCCCAGCAATGCACCCTGTGCCTGAGAGCATTGGCCAAACACTTCTTGAGCTCTGTCAGCCTTGGGGCTGTGCCCACTGCCCTGGGGAGCTGTTCAGTGCCCAAACACTTACTGGGGAAGAACCCTTTCCTAAAATGTTCATGTAAACTACATTGACCCCTGAAACAAGGAGAGCTGCTCCAAAACACACTTCTTCACTGGAGGTGATGATGTCTGCCAGCCAGGGACAGCATCTGGGTGAGGATGGAGGGAGACAACAGGATCCCTTGGACCTACAGAACGACATGCAAAATGCCTTCACCGGGATAACTTGCACAAATCCTGTCATTCCCACGTATCCAGCAGTATGCTGTGAAACGTGCCTGCAGTAATTCCTCGGGATAGCTCCTCTGAACCAACGATGCCATCCAGAGGTGCTCGGGTGCAGCACACAGCTCTGTGTCCGCAAGGACTGAAGGGAAAGACACAACCTATGCATAATCTTATACATCAGACTTTAAACCCACCACCAAATAATTATATTCTCTGAATTTTTCATTTATCTTGACCATCACTGGGGGTTTTTTTTCTGTTTATCTCACTATTCACTGTGTGTTTTGGTTTTCTATATATACTAAATCGTTCTTAAATATGTATATATACGTATTTACACACACCTCTGACCTCTCCTGGTAAACAGAAGCTATTTCATCTCACTCGCAGTTGCTAACAGCAGGCCTGGCACCACATGGGGAACTGAGAGAGACACTCATCTGTATTGCACTGCTATGCAACAGCACAGGAATTCAGATAGCACCAACCACACACTGAAACAGGAAACAAAACAGTGGAAAACAATCTTTGTTCCCCATCTAGAACAGCTGGTGACTCCCTTTCAGCTGTGAAATTGTGACTCAAACTTGAGACAAGGAGATGTTTTTCCAACATATGATTATACATATGTATGCCTGTGTACACAGAGTTTATGTCAGTTGCCTGAACAGTTTGGCTGCAGCATCACCTGTGGCAGATTTTACAATGGGCAAAGTATGGCACAGGAGAGATTTGCTCAGTAAGAATGGTCTGATTTACCTCTGTGTGCAGAGGTAACTCCTTCACTGGCACCTGTGTCTGTGTCACATTAAAATGTGGATTCACAAAGTGAATTAATATAGTAGCAGAATAAAACCAATCACTGAATCCTTATTTTCTCCTTTAGGAAGTTAGTGGGATTAGACTCATAGAATGTCCTGAGTTGGAAGGGACCTACAAAGATCATCAAGTCCAACTCATTAGGACTATACAGATTACAGATAAATAATCCCAACAGCACAAACTATATGTTATTTATTTATCTTTGGGATTTTCCAAGCTTTATTCAGATTCATATCTGATTTTGAGATGTGCTATCTTAAAACTACAGAAAACACAACACACTTGTATCTGTCTTCTTTTCTCCTTAGAAACCATCACTTACTGGTCCATTAGGATTAAGGCACTGGGTGTTATTTTATCACCTTACACAAACTAAAAGAGAAAATTGAGAACCAGATTGACTTGAAAACTAATCAAGTAACTTTTCAGATAGCTTATGGCAAGCACCGCTCTCACTTGCTGTACCCCTCCCCAAAGGAGCATCCTTCTTTTACAGTCTCAGCACTGGAAAATGAAGAAAAAACTGTAAAAACATAAATGATGTCAGATGACAGACGGTGTGGCTGAACCATGGTTATGGTTAAAAGGAGATGGTTCAGAGGAGATTTTGAGTGTTATGGAAGCAGAATGTTAAATTTAGGGACTGACGTCTGCAGTGCATTTGGAGTCACCTTGAGCTGACATCAAACCTAACATGAGAACCTGCTGATGCCTCCATTTCCCACCAGTCACCCCTAGGCCATGCCCTTTTTATAGGTGCACTCAGGTCCCACATCAGCAGCTGCAGGGAGGTATCCTGGGTCAGTGAAAGCACAGGATTGTGGAGACACCTGCACAAAGAAGGGCTTGAAGGGCCATTCGGAAGAGATGAGTGAGCCTGCAGAAACCTGCACTCTGGTAGGGCAAGAGGTGGAGAAACAGCTCTCGTGTTCCAGACACTTCAGTGCTGAATACATGTGTGGAGGGAAGAGCAGACATATGGAGTCCTTCACAAGTTGTGAGAGATGACCCACAGAGATCGCTGAGTCGACAGTCTAATTTTATAATCTCAACCCTGCTACAAGTTTCAGACACGTCTTATATCAAGTGTACAACACTTCCATGCAGCAGCAGTGAAAATATAAGCAAATCCCAGGAAACACACCACTTCTATGCACTGTGATGAAAAAAATACTGCAGTGATTTAAGAGAAAATATTTCTTTAAAAGATCAAAGACATTGTCTTCCCCTTCCTGCCACTTTCATACACACCATGTTGGCCTAAATGAAAACATCAACATCATAGAATGTTACGGGGTTGGAATGGACATGACAGATCATCCAGTCCCAACCCCCTGCCCTGGGCAGGGGCACCTCCCACCAGAACAGGTTGCTCAAGGCTTTAGCCAACCTAGCTGTGAACACTGCCAGGGCTGCTCTCAATGACTGCTATTTGCCACTTTCATACACACCATGTTGGCCTAAATGAAAACATCAACATCATAGAATGTTACGGGGTTGGAATGGACATGACAGATCATCCAGTCCCAACCCCCTGCCCTGGGCAGGGGCACCTCCCACCAGAACAGGTTGCTCAAGGCTTTAGCCAACCTAGCTGTGAACACTGCCAGGGCTGCTCTCAATGACTGCTATTCCCTGACAGGACAGGGTTGTAGAGAGGTGGGGAATGGCCTCTCCTGTCATGCCTGCAGGGACAGGACTAGAGGGAATGGCCTTGAGCTGAGACAGGGAGAGTCAGATTAGATCTTAGAAAAAATTTCTTCACTGTTAGGACGTTCAGCCACTGGAATAGAGAATTGCCCAGGGAGGTGGTCACCATTCCTGGTGGTGTTTAAGAGGTGTCTGGATCTGGCGCTGGAGGATATGGTTTAGGGTTTAGGGGTTACAGCCATGCTTGCACTTGATGATCTCTTCAAGGTCTCTTCCAACCTCAATGAATCTATCATTCTCTGATTCTCTGACTTCTCCATTCAGCTTACAGGTGTGTCTGGGATTGCCTTGACCCAAGTGTAGGACCATCCACCCAAGTGTAACTGCTGCTTGTCCAGACAAGTCTACATTGACACCAATGCGAAAAGACTTGGAAAAGACCATGGAAAAATCTGCTCTTGTGGACTGGTTTGACTGTGTAGAGTGTGCACTGACCTGTACTTCCCCGTCCTCACTTGCAGAGCTCTCATCCCGCAGCGCTGCGCGCCCCCGACATCATTCACAATATCATCCCCGATCATGATGGCCTGTCACGGCAGAGAAATACGGGAAAACCGGAGTGAATTTTCCTCCTGCCATACGTCACGCTCCTCTGACATAACAAACAGCTTGATTTGATGGTTAATACTGCCATCAGACAAATTAAACAAGATAATATTGTCATCGTATTGATTAAAAGTCATCCTACCTGGAGTGTAATTCATGCCACGGCTCCTCCAGCAATGTACATGTCTGGACAATTTGTAATCAATCACAGAAATCAAAGGGGTTTGGCACACAGCACAAAGGAAATGGTGAATTTTATGAAGTTAAGGCCTATTCGGTTCCTAACAGTCCATTTTTGTTATGCTCTGAGCAGTTTAAATTAGCTTCACTTCTGAAACTTGGGATTCTACAGGGTAGTCAGAAGCTTAAGGCTGGGATCCCTAAGAGCTTGATCCAAACCCATTCCCAGGTGGATACAGAAATTTGGGGAAAACACTGTAAAATGCAATTTATTCATGTTTGCACCATGTGACAGGGTAGAGTTTGTTTCCATCAGCTTAAATCTATGCAAATACTAATAAACTAATAAACACAGCAGCTTTGAAAAGATATCCACTAGTTGATACTATTTTAAAGTGTCCTTTTGCACCTTTTATATTGAGGTTGAATTTTACCTAAAATACATTAATTAGTTGCATCTTTAACCACTTGATCTTCATCCTGTTGAATTAGCCTCCTCCTTCACAAACATAACTGCCCAGTTTCACAACCAGGGCACATTGCAGCCTCAGATGTTTCTGCCTCAATTTCCATCCCTTCCATGTACTTTGGATTATTTTCATACCTGCACATCACAGAGTCACTATGCAAAGTGTTTCTTTTCTTACTAAACCAATAGCTCTGTGTGGTTTGAGCTTTTCTTAGGGACTGTCATGAGAGAATCCTGACCAACATATGGGCTCTGGGGGTTAGAGGGATGTTTGCAAGGGCCCAGGATTGCCTTAGATGGAGGTGGATTGCTGGAGCAGCACCATGGGGACTCCTTTGGGCACTCACAGAAGCCAACCCAGCATTTTTCCATCTGTGGAGAGCTGATAAACAGGCCCTTGTCAGGGAGGTCATGGGAATGTGGCACACATGGCAGAAGCAGGGATTGCCTTCTCCAAAAGCACCAATCTCTGGGAGTGCTAAGTCTTTCCATCCAGCTGGCTGCAGCTTTAAGGCCAAAAACATCAAGGAAGTCTGTGCTGCAGGTGCCATTCCAGTTACCAGTTCTGTTCAATTTCACATGCTCCTCTCCCTCTGCCTGCACATGGAACCATCTCTTCTTCACACAGCACACAAGAGCCAGTTCATCTGTGTCACCCACACCTCAACTCCCACTTTGTGAGGAAGTTGTATCCAGTGATGAGGTTTTCCTTCAGTTTCCTCTTCTCCAGGCTGAACAGACCTAGTGCCCTCAGCCACCACAAGGCTTCCCCTCAAGGCCCTTCACCATCTTCATTGCCTCCTTTGGACACTGTCTAACAGCTTAATATCTTTCTTATATTTTAAGGTGCCTTCTCCTGCAGATAGTTCATGTTTCCTTGCCACTCCTCCAAGCATGCAATCCAGCATGAAATGGGGAGAAAATGATGGGTTAAACTTAATTAATTATTAAATAAATCATGTATACATGGATAAGGAGAAGACAATAATCCCACTCATGCAGAGCTGTGCAGAACAGGGCAACACCACTCCGACCATTGCCAATTCCCACCAAGCTGCTCCGAGATATTTAATCACTCTCAACCATTGGCTTTTATAGCCTATAATCCCCTTTTCTTACAAAATTCCTTCCAACACCTCCCTGAGGGTGAGAGCGAACAGACTTGCCCTCTGCTCCCTGCGTGCCCTTGCTCAGCCTGACTCATGATGTACATGATGAGATTTCTGAAGCAAAGACCATTTCAGCCCTATGTTCTCCTAACCCTAAAAATGAATTTGCTCTGCCAAGGGGAAAGGGCAGAGTGTGGCAACCCTCCAAGCACTCTCTGGCTCAGCAGGGCTGTATTTTACCCCATGCAGGGAAGTTTTCCTGCAAGACCCTGGCAGCTCAGTGAGTGCAGCTGCAGCTGAGCAGCGATGCCTGTCCAGCCCAGCTTGTGGCATAAGCATACAAAACTGTACTCCAACCCCCAGGGATTTCACAGATTTACTATCGGTGAAGGGCAATAATCACTGAAGGAGGAGCAATTATTCCCAAATCATTTAGGATTTAAAAAATCATTGGCAAGAAGATAGAGGTCAAAAGGTGCACTGTCAAGGGAAATAAAAAAAACTCTACCTGTCAAACCTGGGTTTAACTTCCTCTCTGACTGCAATATGGTAAGAAGAGAGAGAAAGATATAAAACTGAAAGGTCATATACCCACTGAAAGCAGGAATTAAAAGATCCCCGTCCATGTTCACATTTTACACACCATCAATGTGTTCAGTCATTCTGGGAAAGTTGCTTTTCATAGACTGGCTAAAAATTTACTTTAAAAAAGGGAAAAAATTGCAGTGAGTTTCTCTGGTTTTTGAGACAAAACAGCAAAGAATTAGGATGGGTGTGATTTATATTTTCCTAAACCACAGAGCTGGTGAGAGGTGGTTGCACACACACAGTAAATGAAGCACACATGTGCCAAAGCTGAGGGAAGACACTCCTGAAGGGTCCCCATCAAACCCAGCCCAGATCAGCAGTGATAACAGAGGAGATGAACATGACCTCCAAGAATTTGGGGGTGGAAAGGCACAATATAATCCATGCTGGACAAACATCTGTGGCACAGAGATCACCATCATGGTCAGCAATCCTAGTGGAGCTGTCTGTGCCACAGACCCAGAGTTGAATGGAGGTGGAACCAACCCTGCTGACCCTCAGAAGCACCAAAACCAGTAAGTCTTTAAAGACGCTGCTGAGGTGGTAAATGGGAACCTCAGGTCATTTTTGCCTGCAAAAGAGGTTGAGCATTCACTAAAATCACAGAAAAATGTCTGATCAGAAAAGGAATCGTGGAGTAAGAAAACAAATAAGACAGAAAGACAAGAATATCCTGATTTTCCCAGCCATGCTCACGTTGCAGTGCAGTGTTGACCAAGATGAGCTCAGACACAGCCTAGGGAGGATGCAGAGAGATGATAACTTCATCAGAATATTTAACACAGTGAATGCTCCTCGAGTCAAACATATTTATGCCTAAACAGATTTTTGCTATAGGCTTAATAACCTTAATCAAGCTAAATGTGCCAGGGCCATAAGGAAATAAAGCTTAAACACCAAACCCTGATTAATGTATTAAACCCTTTTACACAAGAAATACGACACGCTCGCTTTTCTCCCTGCTCTCTTTGGCCCAAGTGGTAATCTCACAGGCCTCAGGATCCTGGATTACTGTTAATTATGTTTCTAGCTGAGATTTCCAAAGGCTGCAGCCAGGTTTCAGTAAGCTTTAAGCAGGATTGAAGTTTGAAACTTCACTCAGACACTTCACTTTGCTTTCGGAGATGGAAAATCTTTCCCCCAGTGAGCAAGGAGGAGATGTTGGCATGGCAGCAGGTCCTCTGTGCCATTCTCTGGGTGACCTCCCTCTGCTCTCATGCACCACTAACTCCCACCTGAGACTTGCAGGTGGCAGAAATGGGAATTGGTTAACTACCAGTAGTTTATGGACTCCAGTATGACCTGCCATAACTCCCATTAAAACAGGACAATTTGCTACAGAGAGAACTTTTTATGATTATATAAAACTACCAGAACCTTAACATTATTTAGGTTTTATTGTAAAGCTGTAAAAATCATCCGCTGTTGCAGCTGCCTTAAAACATATGAATTAGGCATTTCAGTAACCTTTAAGATGTGTTATTCTTTGTCATATTACCGAGCCATAAGATAGGTCTGGTTACCTCTAAGAGGTTTAAATTTCCAATCTATTAAAGTAATACCAGCAATCTGTTATTTCTAGGCCATTGAGGAAAGGTTAAAATGAAAATTGGACTTTGGGGAGTTCCTCCTGTTCTAAGTGCAGGATGGAAACATCTCAGCAGCAGAAGGCAAAGTCAGGGTCTCAGTAAGATGCAGTTACCAAGGGAAATGACTGGTGATAACTTTATTGATTAAAGCAGCTTGAGGAGTTTCAGCATTGCCACTGTCTCAAATTACTGTGGTGAGACAGCTTTATTAAAAAGGTATTTTTCATTAAAAGTCAGGTGAAAGAAAACTGTAATATGTTTTCAAAGAGCACAGCTCATCCAAAATGCTTTAATGATGGTATGGATTAAATGCATTCCACAGGTGGAATAAATTATGGGCAAGCATTTTGTGAAAATAAAGGCAAGTAGAACTAGCCCTTGCCATGTCACTGCAAATGCAGAGAAGTGTAGTTCATTCAGGAGACAGATTAGATTGTAATACAAAGCATTACAGGAACTTACTGAAGTGAAGATACTGAGGTTTCAAACTGAATACACTGAGGCTTTATTATTCTGGGCTAAAACAACCTGCAAATCCTTCTCGAAAGTACATTAAAGTTGCAAGGTCAAGCACTCAAAAGTTAGGAAAAGGTGTCAGAATTAAGGTAGTTTGCTTGGCTGCAATTTGTTCCTCTTATATATGTTCATCATGATCCAGGATTTAACTCCAGCAGTGTGAACTATTGTTTCCATAGTGGAAAGCATGGAGTGACTGATGCCATGATGCAGTAGTGTCTACTGCTCTCCTCCTTGGTTAGGCACATACTCCCTTCATCTCAGACCTCTCTGAGTACAAAATATTATACCTACAGACTAGACATATCACTTCAACAGATTAATAGCATTTAATATTAGAAACTATAAGAAAAATCCCCCAAAATTCTGTCAAAATATAAAGTCAGTCACTAGCAGCACTGTGACACCATGGCAAACAGCAGAGAATGAATAGATAATCTCTGCTGGGGACTATTCTTGCTTTCCTGTACCCAAAGCAAATCCTCCTGAAGCTGGTGGGAGCTACTCACTGAGGCTCACCCTATGGGACCATTTTTGCCAGCTTGGTGAGCCATTAAATCAGGTTTGTTTTCTGGGGCAAAGATTTGGAGACAGGAGCTGTGGTGTTGCATCCTTGTAATGATACCTTCACTCTGTGACACAGGATGACATAGTCCTGGCATTCCATGAGCTGGGAAAAACACTGTCTGGGAACAAGTGCACCACCCTGCCAATGGAAAAGGACAAGCAATGCCCCTTCACAGGGACACCAGGATAGAAAACTCAGGAATAACATTTTCCCTCTCACTCCTGCACACCAAGCATTTCTGATACAAGCAGAAAGGACACACAAACTTTTACACATGTGATTTACACAGACAGCACCCAAGGGCTGAGCACTGCGGGTTGTTTTTTTATTGTTCTTTTTTTCCAGCTACTTTTTCTTCAAATGCCTCTCTGTGGCTGAGAAGGATTCTGGGGTTTGTTGGTTGGATGAATGGATTGAATGATTGCCATGGCTGTAACTGGGGTATTACGTTCAGGCTGAGCTATCTTGCTACTGGGAAGATATGGACAAACTGAAGGGACTAAAAAAGCACTGCTGAGGGTTAGGGACAGAGGGACAGAATCAAGGCAAGATGCTGAGAGTAAGAGACAACTATTGTAATGCTAGCAAATCTAGATATAATTGGAGAAAGAAAATATCCAGGAAGGCAAACTGTTATTTTGGTTGCTAACTAGAGCAAAACCAGAAATAAGGAGATGCAGTTTAACATGGAAATGTCCCAATGAATCTCAGAAAAAAGCTGCCTGCTCATGAGACTTGGACACTGTCCCTAAGGTACTTACAGCAGCTCAGTTGTTTGGCCCACTGAAAACTACTCTGGGCAAGACATTAATAAACGTGGAGCAGGGAACACTCCTGCATGGGGAAGGAGATGGATGAGATGGCTTACTAGGTCTTTTCCATCTCCCCACTCTCTAATAAAGTAAAACCCAAGCACATACTAAATTACAGGGCCATAATTTCATCTGCAGGCTTGAGGGACCTCCAAGCCACCCAAACTTCTCTCCTGTTGTTTATAACGTCACCCAAACCCCCCTGATGGAATTATTACATTGTAATTCACTGCTGTTTGTGAGTCATCTCATACTCATCCTTATGTCCTGTGTGACAGAACAACAAATCAACAACAGAGAGGCAAAAATATGGGCAGTACTAAGGGAGGAGGGTGCATCA